GTCTTGACTCCAGGTCTATCTGGGACCAGATTCCATGTCACACAGCCAGAATCAGCCCAGTCAGGACTTAACCCTGCAGCTGCCTCCAGGGCTGCTCTGGAGAGAGGGGACTGGGTTCCCTCGGTCGGGTGGTACTGGGCCCCAGGCACCGGGCAGGGATAACGGCAGGGAGATGAACACAGGCTCGGGGGCAGGGATGGGGGCTGTTCATTTTTTAAAAAGGCAAAAATTAAGATGCCAAGCAGGTGGCCATGAGCCCCTGTGTGGAAGCTGGCCAGGCCAGGCTTGAGGAAGTCTCAGGGACTAGATTCACTCAAAAACCTCTTATTAAGCTAGGTGCCAGCGACTGCTGAAGGCAGTAAACAAATACAGCAAACAAAACAGATAGAAATTCCTGCCTTCAAGGGGCTTATAGTCTGGCAGTAGGTAGGAGACAGACAAACTGAGACAAAAACACAGCAGATGGTGGTAAGTGCTCTGGAGGAAAAAGGAACCAAGGAAGGAGGCAGGCAGTGCCTAGGTCAGGGAAGCCAGAGGGAAAGACAGCCAGGCAAGGTGTTGATGAGAAGGCGACATTTGAGCAAAGAGCTGAACGAGGTGAGTGACCCACGCAGATACCTGGGGGAACGGCATTCCAGACATGAGGAACAGTCATTGCAAAGGCCCTGAGGTGGGAATGTCCCTGACATGTTTTAAGAAAGCACAAGGAGGACAGAGGCCAGAAGGCCATTTGGGGAACGACTCCCAGGAAGAGCAGAGGCCCAGTGCAGTGCTGCCAAGAGCCCTGAAGGGTGACTAGGATCCTAACAGCTGAGCATCACCTGACACCCACTGTGAGGGACTGTGGCCCTGGGAGGAGGGACAGGGCCTGCCTTGGCGCCATGGGTCTCTGCATACATTCATTCCCCAGTGATGCGAGGTGCAGTGAGCCGCCTGTCTCAGACAGAGGGAGAGTGTGAAAACTACAAGAAATGAAAAACTATGACGAAAAGTCAAAAATTTGATATTCATTAAAAAAAAAACACAGGACTGTGCATTCCCCACCCCCTGCTCTCCTGATGTCGCTCAGGACAGGCTGAGAACCAAAATGTAAAGATGACAGAAACAAGCCCAGAAAAGACACCATCCAGAACCTGGACTCTGGGCTCCCAAACCGAGCGGCTTGTTCCACCTGCTCAGTGGCAGGAGGAGACAGTGGCCACAGGAAGGAGGGAGCTCAGAGCAGGCCTGGCTAAGGTAGGGTGAGGGACCGCAGGGCCACTGTCTTCGTGTCTATCCAAGAACTGTTTCTGTAATTGAAATCTAAATTGAAAAGTGAGAAAAGGGTGTGAGGTTAGAAGGGCTAGTCAAAAGCAAAAGGGACCTGAACATCCACCTATCTGATTCAAGGCCTGAGCCCACCCTTGCCCTCCAGCAGGACCGGGTGCCCCTTTGGTAAGAGATGAAATGGCCCCGAGCCTCCCTAGCCCAGGGTTTCAGGGCATGAGTCCCCAGCTCCATGCTGCCAGGGACAGGTAATTACAGAGAAGGGGTTTTCAGAGGAGTTTCATTTTTAGCTTTGAAATATACAATTAGACGTCCAAGTCCCTGAGAAGCAGGGAGAGCCCTCTCCACACACCACAGCCCACTTGGTGGCCATCACAGTGGCAGAATTCAGCTATTTCTGAGTGGTCCTGAAATAGAGCAGAGCACCCTACCAGACTGGTGTCCTCAGGGCAGCAGAGCTCCCTCAGAGCTCCCCTGGCCCCAAATCCCAACCACAGCCTCTATTATACACCCACAAAGGCTTACTGTAGGCGCCGGCTCGATGCCAGGCCCACGTGGGTGTGGGGACACAAGGGAGCAGACCTCCTCCAGGAGCCCCCAGCTGAGTGGGGAGACAGACATAACACAAGTGACTGACAAGGAAAGGGAAGGGGCTATGAGAGTGCTGAACAGATGGGGGGCCTGACTTGGCCTGGGGCAGTGATGCCAGAGCTGCGACCTCAGGGCTGTGGTCAGCTGGGTGAAGACCTGGGAGATGGCTCAGGCAGTGGGAACAGCCCAAGAAGACCCAGAAGGAAGGAGGTGGCTCTTAGGAGGAGGCGAGAGAAGGCTGGGGGTGGGGGCAGGATCAGGCTGGTGATCGTAAGGCTGCACATGTGACCGAGAGGCCCATTACAGAGAGCCTGGACTTCATCTGTAAAACGGTGATACTGCCCACCGCATGGGGTTGTCAAGGTGACCCTGTAGTGCTGTGTCCAGCTCCTTTCTCCACTGCTCACCCAGAGGGGCAATGCAAAGAATCCTGCCAGCACGGTGTGTGGGTGGCCATGTCTTCCTAGCATCTGCCCCACCATGTGTCAGGGACCAAGGAAGACAGCCAGCCACCATCCAGGCCCCACACAGATGGGAAGCGCATCGTATCTGTCTGCCACCACTGTTTTTCCAGAGCCCAAGACAGAGCTACACAGAGCTGGTCTCACTCTAAAACACCCTCCTGCCCCCCAGGTTCATCTTTAATTAATCAACAGTAAAACTAGGTCCTGTTCATTGAGCTCATTCTACCGAACACACGTTTTACATACATAACCAACCGAATGCTATCACAATTTGACTATGTACGATTATCATTCCCATTTTACAGAGGAAGAAACGAGGTCCAGAGAGGGGCAGTACAAGCCCAAGCAGAGTTGGACAGAACAACAGGGTGGGATGCTGACCCAAGGCCACACCACCTCTTCCCCATCTCAGTTTCTCTCAAAAGCAGGAGAGCAAGTGGACATCTGGGAGGGGGGAAAGGCTTCTTCCTAGGCCCCCAGCAATTAAAGACTCCTCAAAGGCTGTGAAGGGTGGCAGATCAGGTTGATGTGAGCCACCATCCTCAGCCTCAGATGGAGAAATCTGAGATTCCCAGCAAGAGCCTACCCCAGAGTCTGTGTACCATGGTTCCCTGAGGTTGGCTCTCTGCCATGTCCCTGGCATCTGGACCAAACCAGCATCACTGCCTAGGAAGTACAAGATCCTAGAGCCTTGCACCCCCAGGTATCCATCATGCAGGTGACAATGAGTCAGTGCCATGGCTCCCAGCCACAGGTTGCCCACAGCCCCCAGGCTGCCACACCCACACTGTCCCCATAGACAGAGACCAAACAGGGCCCCAGAGCCAGAGTAAAGGTACAGCACAGCCAGCAGTGGTCTCAGGGAAGGAAGTCGAGAGAAGGGAGCCCAGGGCATCAGTGGGGCAGCCCATGGAAGGGCTCCAGCCTGACCCCACACCCACCCTCAGTACTTCACCTTCCCCCAGCCGCCTGACTGCAAGCACTCGTCTACACATCTGTCTCGTCACCACTGTGTGCCTGGCACAGAGCATGGCCTGGTAGGGCGCAGCTCAATTGTGGCCATCTAGGGGTGGGGGTGACGAAGCCCGGGAGGCTAGAGCTTCTCGGACTCAAGCCAACGTTGAAAAATCCTTGGCTTATCACATGCGAAGATTCCCAGGCCCTTCCAGAACCTCAGACTCTGTTATGCCAGGGTTTCTCAACCTCGGCACTACTGACATTTTAAGCCAATTCTGTTCCGTTTTGTTTTGTTTTCGAGGGTGGGGGGTGTCCTGTGCTTTACAGGATGATTAGCAGTATCCCAACAATAGCACAGCTCTAGCTGTGACAACCAAAAATGTCTCTAGACATTGCCAACTGTCCCCTCAGGGGGCAAAGTCACACCCAGTTGAGAACCAGTGCTGCAGGCCTTGGACTGGGCTGTTTAAACAAGCTGCCAGGTGATTCTGAGGCAAGAGCTGGGCACCCAGGTAAGAGAGGGCATACCCATGAGAACTGTGTAGGACCCCAAGGACATCCCAGCCCCACTGTGCTCCTGGGCCCTGAGAGGGCTGGTCCCCAGATTCCTCCCCATTAGCCCCCATGATAAGATAACCAGTGCAAGGCTCCAGCGCATGAATCCCTCCCCACTGACCCCCCAAGGGCTGCCACCAGGTCCAGCCTGCACCTCCTCAGCCAAGCCAACTCCATGATCTCCTTGTCCTTGGCCGGGTTCCTGGAGGAGCGAGCAGCCACGGTGATGCAATCAAGGTTCCCGGCTGATGAAACCCAGCCCAGGCTGGGAGAGGCGAGAGTCTAATAAGGAAACAATTTAAATCGACAACATCTGCCTGTGCTTCCCTGAAGAGAAGAGAGTACAGCCGCCTGGGGAGGGGCCTCCCGGGGCCCAGGCAAGGGGCTGGAGAGCCTCCATTCCGGCGACGTGGCCAACGTGGCAGCCCAGCAGCATCTGGCTTCTGCCAGGAATTCAGGGCCGCTCACAGGGGAAGCAGCTTGTTGCAGTTCTGACACAGCCAGCCCTTCCTCCTGTGACCCGATGAGGCAGCAAGAAGTTCCTAGAAGTCAAGCCACTCAGGCTTGGTGAGGAAGAGAGTCATCAGGGTCAGGGGTAAGGATTCTGGAGTCAGGTGCATCTGGGTTCAAATCCTGCCTCCGCCACCCAGGTGAATGCACAGGGATGCTATTTCCAATTGATGCAACAGGCCCTCTTGCTTTTATAGCCCAAAAGGAGAGCAGGCTGTTGAAGAGATCCAAAGTAAACTGCTTGCTTTGACCAAGTGCTGGTCCAACCCCATGCACCTGGGTGAAGGTGTCCCCACCAACCAGTGTGGTCCAGTCTGGCTCCTGTTTCCCAAGCACCCTCCCGTGTGCCAGGTGCTGCTCGAGCAGGAACCGTCTGCAGGCACGACCACTACCCACTTCACAGATGAGCAAACTGACACTCAGGGAGTCCACAGGTCTCTCAAGAGGTAAAGGGTAACCTGTAAGCTCAAGCCCTATCTCAGGAGCTCACTCCCACCTGTCCTGCAGGATCGCTGGGAAAATTCACCAAGATACAAAAGCTGTTCTCAGGGGATGGCAGCATCAGTCAATGTACCTGCACTTTACAGGCTGATCCTTCACCACAAGTGTCAACACCAGGGAAGAGGCAGCCTTGAGATCAGTCTTACCCTAAAGAAGGGATGGTCATTAGAAAAGGGTACACGGTCACTGGGGCATGGCACTGGGCCAAACCCTTCAAGACCTGCTAGTACTGGGGACCAAAACTGGTCTATCCAAGGTCAAAGGCAGAAGTGAGAAAATGTTCCTATAAAAGTTCATATATCAGCTTCCTGCCTCCTGAGCATTTCCTACTTATTGGGTGCCAAACTGAGAGCTCCCCCTGCCTGACCTCCCAGAATCCACACCCCAAGCCTGGGAGGTAGGTACCATCATCTTCAAGTCACAGGCAGGGAAACTGAGATTCAGAGCACAGAAGCCACCCACCCCAGGTCTGGCCAGGAGAGGGCCGTGATCCAAACCCACAGCTGTCTGACCTCAGAATCTCAAACTAGGCCCCCCATACCAGAGCTAGGCCAGGCTGGAGGCCCTAGAAATTCAAAGCAGGAAGATACAGCTGGCCTATAGTAGCAACTTTCACTACCCTCAGGACCCATAGAGCTGCAGGGTTGGCTCTGCTCAGGAAGTTTCCTCTCCTGAGCCTCTGACATGCCCAGCAGGACCACTCACAAGTCAAGGGTGCTAGAGGCAGACAGGCTGGGGTTCAAGGCCAGGATCTGCCACCCACTGGACATTTGACCTCTCCGAGCCTTAGTCACTGCCCTACCCTGGCTCACGGGGTTGCTAAGAGGTTTAATGAGAGAACAGGGCCTGGCACATACCCAGAAGGCACTCACGGTAAACGGGGGACATGGCCACTACTATCAGAATTAATTCTGAGACAGATGGTACAGCAGAAAGCCACGCAAGCAAGGCCCCTGATGGAGGCCCTGCTTCCCCACCCAGGACCATGGGTCGGGACATTTCCCCAGAACTTGAACCTGGCAGGGACGTCCTGGGAGGTAGACTGGCAGGTGGCCCAGGCACACTCAGGCCGCTCCTGGCTGACTCACGCCTGGGTGGTGTTTGAATCACGCAAGGAAGGGAAGAAACAGGAGGGAGGGATCCCCATCCCCAGAGCCCGGTTCCTCGAATGGCTGGACTCAAGTGAGTCATAGGGATGTCCCTGTCCTCTGAGCCCCTACCCAAGCCCATAGCCTTTCCTGAAAGCACCCTCCCCACAACTACTGCAGGCAAGTTACTTCCTCTTCTGGGCCTGGGTCTTAGGTATAGTGGAAACAGAAGGAAGCTTCTATGTTGCAAAGCACAGAGGACCTAGAGGTAGGACCTTTATTTCCTTCACTGTTGCTTGCCGAGTCCTAAGGATGGCTGGCACCTGGCACATGGGAGGTGCTCAGTAAGTCTCTGATGACTGAATGAGTGACCTTCATAGCCCTGCTCCCAACAAGAGCTACCAATGACCTTCTTGTGCTGATATTTCCACCTCCAGTAAAGGGGTCTCCCAGCTCTGGTCAGGTCATGTCTTCTGGCTCCCTGCCATCATCCAGGGGTCAGAGGTCATCACCATCTCTGGATCTGCCCCCAGGTGTTCCCACTGCTCCACATAGCACTCCCCATGGCTACCTGGACTTCTGAGGTGACCAGTGAATAATCATGGGCCACTCAGCCATAGTCACATCCTCTCACAAAACCAGCACAGACTCAGACCTGTCTTTTCAGCCATCTTCAGGAGCTCTCGGAGATTCCAAACATAGGACAAAGGCCTCAGGGTCAGGTGGGACCAGAAAGCCCTGACTCACCAATCTCTACCTCCTCCCCAGACACCTGATTCTCCTGCACACTCACGGACTGACTCTAGGCCACTTGCTGCCCCTGTCATCTACTTACTCCACACACATTAACTGACCACTTACTACAAGCCAGGCCTGAGTGGGACACTGGAGATACATCTATAACAAGCCTGGGCCTCGATCAGCCTGCATCCAAAATGGGAATGGCCGTTCTCATCCAGGTCCATGTGATTCCTCTTTAGCCGACAGGAAACTTTCAGGAGGTGCTGGAGGACTGGGTCAGGCCTTCTCTTGCATTCAAGGTGAGTACTCAAAGGACCATCCCCAAAGGGAGTGGTCAGGGCCGGAGCAGGTAAGAGAGCCCAGTGCCTCCTCTCCTGCTGTGCTCAGCACTTCTCAGTGAGCTGATGTATCTTAATGGTCTCCTTCCAGTTCATGGACCCCAGGTCAGGGAACATGGCTGTCTTGGTCCTTGCACAGGGCCAGGGCAGCAGCCTGGCTCCAATCACAAATGTTTGCTAAATGGGTGAACCACAGGAAGAGACAGGAAAAACAAGGGAAGAGAGGGAGGAATGTGGACCTTTCCTTCCTGCTCCACCCGTGGATCCCCTCCAATAATTGCCCTGGATTAACACCAACTACGGCCAGCCTTTCCTGAGTGCTTATTCTGTGCAGGGGGCTAACCCACTTAATCCAAGCACCAAAAAGGAGCTCATCAACCCATTTCACAGCATAGGAAAGCAAGGCTCAGAGAGATCCCGTGGTCTGGCAGCCTCGGGAGCCTGCCTGCCCTCCCTCTAAACTGCAAAGCCCCACACCCAGCACCCCTGCCGGGTTTGAAAGAAGCAGAAGGAAAATCCCCAGCCAGAAGACTGTTGGCAGTTGCCAAGATGAGCTATGGCTCATGAACAGCGATGCTTATCAGGTCGGGATGGTTCGGGCTGCCCCGCCAAAAAGACCCTGTAAAGACCTGAGCACCTCCTCCAGGCTTCCAGTGCCCAGCACCACCAAAAGTGTGGGGCATCTCAAGGCCGCTTCTCAGAGACACGTGCACACATCAGTGCACAGCTGGCAGACTCTCAGTACATCCTGTGAAACCAGCCCCCTCAAAGCAGGACTTAACAGGTCCCGGAAGTCCCCTCCAGACATGACCGCCACCCCAACAAAGACAACATCATCCTGATTTGCATCAGGATGGGTTTTGTTTTTAATCAAAATGCTTTTGAACTTTATGTAGATGGCATCACACAGCATGCTCTTGTGTCTGGCTTCCTTCCCTCAACATTGTTTGTGACACCGTCCTTGTTGTGAATAGCAACGGCTGCTGCGTAGTAGGCTCGAGTTTTGTTTTTAATCTTTGCATGATGACAGAGGTGGGAAACCACTCCTCTCAGCTGACAGCCACCTCCCCTTCTGCAACCTGGAGTCCCAAGTGGTCAATTCCACGGCTGCCCTTGGTGGTTCTGATTCTGATTCACATCCTCCTGTGGATCCCTGCCCAGGTAAGTCCAAGCCCCTCCCCATGGCCTCCCCCAACTCCAAGCCCCAGGCCACCGGCTCTTCCCTGCCCAGCACTCTTGCCCTGGTTGCTCTTCTCCCACCACCTGCTAACCTACTCACCCCTAGGACCAAATCCAGCATGGTTTCCTGGAGAGGGGCACTACGGGGGGCAGGGCTGTATCCCCAGGAAGCAGCATGGGGCCACACACACACAAGGTGCTCAGAAAATTGTCCCCGAGGATCTGGGGGATGGGGAAGTCGCAGGTGTGCTGCCCCCACATGTCTGCAGTCTGGCTGCTCTCAGAGAGGAAGTGGTGGGAAGTGAGGGCACCTTGCATGTGAAAAGGACCCAGACTTCTGCCTTCTCCAGCACCCATCTCAGCACTGGACTGTGTGCCTCCTCCACTCAGTAGGTTTAGTGTGGTTTCAGCTACCAGGTGCATGGTCCTGTGCTGAGCAGGTAGCCCTGATCTAGGTAGCCCTCCCACCCCCACATGAGCACCCTCATCCCATTTGATAGGGGAGGAAGCTACAAGGACAAGGCTATTGGCCATGGTCACAGAGACAGTGAGTAGCTGCCAAGGTCCCACTGCAGAGCCCAGGGCAGGGACCAGCCTCTGCCTCCTCCCCATCCCCCAAGGAGCAACCCTACTCCTTACAGAGGATCCACCCAATACACCCCATCAGTGCCCTCAGTTGCCTCTTAATCACAGCCTCTGAGCCCATGGCAGTGCCCAGCTGCCCAGTATGCAGGCAAGGGCTGCTCCTGACACACGCTGATACCTCCAGCACCATGGTGGGGAGGGGCTGGACCCAAGCAGCTGGTGGTGGCCAGCACACGGTCCAGCACTATCAGCGCCCACACTGGTTCAAGGCCAAGGGGGAAAAGTCCCAGCCCTGCGCCAGTGCCAACCCATGGCAGGAAGCCCGAGGACTTAAATGCAACAGAGGCCGCTCCTGCCCACAATCTGGGGCAGGAGCCGGGCCTCACATCCACCAAGGGCCTCTGGCTTTCTCCCCTTCCCTCTCATCCCCCAACAGAGTCTGCCCTCCACCTTATGTGGGGAACTGTCTTCTGCCTCCCAGTGTGGGTCCCAGAGCTGGCTGTGCAGAGGCCCTTTCCCACAGGCAGAAGCCCCCCACACCCAGAGGAGCACTCCAGCTCTCACTGGCTCAGAGCCAAGCACCCAAGACCAGGCAGGTTTAAGACAACAGGGGCAAGGAAGTAAACAGACCCCACTGGGGACCCTAAGCTCCAGCGTGAGGCCCAGCTCCTCAGGCACTAGGTGTGCTCCTCACCTGCTCCCACCCCTCTGGCAGTATCCTCTCCCCACAGCACCCCTAGGATCATGAGACAGAGACGGCACCCCAGTCAGTTCTGGCCCACAGGGAAGTTCCAGCTGCCACGGAGGGGCAACCAAGGTGCGCCATCCAGCCCACCGCCCTGACTCAGCCAGGGACGGGAGGACGGACGACAGCGTGCACAAGGCCTCTACCAAGTGCCCCGAGCCTAGCTGGATGTCTGACAGGCATTACCTCACTGCGTCCTCCAACAACACGGCGAGGCAGGCACCAGCAGCCCCACTTGGTAGAGGGGGCCGCTGAGGCTTAGGGTCTAAGTACCTTGCCCAAGGTTATACGGGCAACAAGAGGCAGAGAAGGATGAAAATGTCCTCCTGTGAGGGGCAAGGCACCAGCCTGACCAAACAGGCAGCAAGTCCTCCACTGGGGCTTCTTCCTCCCAACTGCGGGCTGGCCCTTCCCAGTCGACATCTGGGCAGCGTGGGGGCGGGTGGTTCCAGGCTCGCATCTGAGAGCTGTTCCAAGCCCAGGGC